TGGATTTCCTTGGGGCTTAGCGACGACGACGACGAGGAGAAGCGACGAAGAGACGACGACAGCGCCTCACACACGCCGACGGGGTCGGCGGATTCTCGGCCTCCTAGGGTCCTTGCCGGGGCCCGAGGATTGTCTGGAAACGAGTCGGGATGAGAAACAGGTCGCAGGGACGTGGTCCAGACCGCTTGGAACTCCACCTCGTGAAGAAAAACACGATGTCGGAGGTCTTGGGATGAAGTGGGATCGGGAGCGGTGAATCGGGCAGGTCCAGAACTTGGATAAATCGTTCCAGAGCGTTCCGCATCGCTCTCGGGGCATTCTTGGAGCGCTTTGGAACGGCCGCGGTACTTGATGCGTCCTCCAGCACCGCCCGATCTCAGAGATCCCCGATGTGTCCTAGTTCGGTGTTGTACCGGTCCCGGCCTCGCCTCGGTGAAGAGGGAGGGGGACGGGGGACGGGAGACGCCGCGCGGCAGCCCGTGAGATCCGACGCTTCGAGGAGACAGCAACATCGCAAGAGCACGGCCTGAGCGCCAGACCCCACCCGTCTGCGGCGTTGCTCGAGCCGCATCGGTTTCTGATGGCCCCAGGGCCCACAACTGGGCGACCACGCCGGGCGCGGAGAAGTTGCAACGCCTGGATCCGAGAGGCCCTCGGGAGCAGAGTCGAGGCCAATCCCCCGGGCCCACGAACAGCGAGCCGGCACAGGGTGCCCAGGAGCGCCGGGGGTCGGCCCCCCCGGAGACCAGGGCAGAGGCTGACCAGGGAATTTTCTGGGCCTCCCAGATGGGGTCCGAGAGGATGGGGTCGGAGGATCGTGCCGCATCGCCGACGCATCCGCGATCCATCGCCGATGCGGCTCGATGTGGGGCCCGCTTTCCTTCACGCCGGCGTCGCCGATGCATCGCCGACGTCGCCAGTGCATTGCCGATGTATCGGCGATGCGGCGAGATCCTCCGACCCCATCTACTCGGACCCTATCTAGGAGACCTCTACATTGGGAAGTCGGGGAAACGAGAGTCACGTTTGGTCGTCCAGTGGATTTTTAGTCGGGCTGCACTGCAGGATCGGGATCTTTGCCCAGGTCTAGGGGGGTCTGGGGAGGTGGTGCGTTTTTTGGGGGGCCTTGGTCCAGGCTAATTCCGGGAGTGTAGCAGCGCCAGTTCTTTTTTTCGAGCCGCCGTTTGGAAAACAAGTGGTTCTCAGTCTAGGGATGTTGGATGTCCTGGTCGACCATGTCTGGGCTTCTGGGGGGAGGAGGAGGAGGAGGAGGAGGAGGAGGAGGAGGAGGAGGAGGAGGAGGAGGAGGAGGAGGCGGAGGGAGGAGGAGGAGGCGGAGGCGGAGGAGGAGGAGGAGAGGCGGAGGAGGAGGAGGAGGAGGAGGACGAGGAGGAGGAGGAGGAGGAGGAGGAGGACGAGGAGGAGGGAGGAGGAGGAGGAGGAAGGAGGAGGAAGGAGGAGGAGGAGGCGGAGGAGGAGGAGCCAGAGGTGGGGGAGCGGGAAAGCGTGGTCGGCGACGCACGCCTCGTGCTGCCGACGACCTGTGGACCGGCGCGGGTGGGGGAGCTCTCGCACCTTGGAGGCGAGGGTGCAGCGTTCCCGTCGAGGGCACGGCGCGTGCCGTGCCTTTGGCCGAGTTTAAAAGAGAAATGGCCGCCGCTTGGCGCATGCCGAGCCCCCTGTGTCGAGCAGCGGCGGGGCCTCCTGCCTTGCTTTCTTCGGGCGGCGAGGTCTATACATATCCACTGCTCCCCGGCCAGGCCCATCCTGAGCTCACGAGCTGTGTATATGCCCTCCTGGCCAAGCCAGGAGGGCGTGGCGTATGCACCGCTGCTGGGTTCAGGCTGGGCCTGGCCAGGGAGCAGTGGATATGTATAGATCTCGCCGCCCTATTTCTTGGCCCGCCAGAGAATGGTCCAAGAGCCTGCTGGTGGTTCGCACGCAGTTGTCTGACGCATCGGGTTGCTGCTCTAAGATCAGGTCGGGCATGTCCCCCTACAGGCGGCTTGAGGGCGAGAGATTCAGAATATTCTAAACATGCCCCAACGTAATCAAGAATTCTCAAACATTCGTCCCCCGACTATTTTTTGACTATTTTGCAATATTCCTCCTGTAGAGGGACAGACCCGACTTAGCTCTAAGAATATTGCTGTGTTTCTTAAAGCCGTTCCCTTGCTCTCAGAACATGCCGTTGTAGGCCTAGAGGAGTGCAGGGACGGTCGGTCCCTACTCAACCATGGGTGACTGAGCCCGTGGCATCGATGGTCTCGCAAGTTGTTGGTTCTTTTTGGAGATTGTGCCGCTCTCTTCTGGGGAGGCCACGCCGCTCTGCAACACCGCCTGCTGTAGGGGATACGAGGGCGCGCGGGAAGCGCGCAGGGGAAGTGCAGACAGAATATCGCGAAACAGGAAGTACGGAGTTCGAACATGTGCGGGTGAACATCTAACAAACATTGCCATGGTTTAGTTTTAGGCGATTGTTGCGCGCTTCGTTCACGCACCCACTTGTTCACCCTTCCGCGCACCCGTCCCCACACCCTACTAATCCCTGGGAGTTCCACGCTAAAGTTGACCATACAACGTCTGCAGTTCACGCCGTCAGTCGGCATCTGCGGATGAATGAGACCAAGCAGAGTGAGGGGGGAGGCTGAGCTAAAACGTGGGACCCTGTGCCAAAAGCAAACTCAAGCCCTCTGCAAGCGTAGACTCGCGCCGGGCATCACGACACTCAAAAACAGGAGCTGGGTGACCTTCAAAGGCGTATTGTCAGTCAAGTCGCCCTGTTGAGGAGGAGGAGGAGGAGGAGGAAGAGGAGGGTAACGAGAAGGGTAAGGAGTGGGAGTGGGAGGATAGATGAGGTGGGAGAAGGGAGGGAGTCGGGGTGGAGGAGGAGGAAGATGAGGAGAAGGTGGAGGTGGAGAACGATACTGTTAAGCATTCTCGGGCCAGGGGTGTCACGCCTGGTGTCTTCGTGTCTTCGCGCAGTTCCGGTGCACGCGGCATGCCCGCCACCGCGCCAACGAAGCACGCTGCGTGGCGACTCTTCGAGCACCGCCCAGAGCGCCGTCACGCATTGGCACCTCTCGCCTCCACTTATTGAGGAGTCCTCGTGGGCACTGGTTTGGCCATCTTGCTGCTGTCTCGGGCTTCTGTGAGGCAGCCTTGGGGGCCCCTTGCGGCCCTCCTGACCGGCTCGGAGCCGTTTGGGTCAATCTTGGGGCCCTCTTGGGCCATCTTGGTACCCTCTTGAGCAGCCTTCGGGCTTTCTTGGCCGACTGGGGTCTCTTGGGGCCGTCGTTGTTGTCGTCGTGGGGCCTTTTCGGGCCGTCAAGGGGCCATCTTAGGCCGTCTTGGGGCCCTCTGAGGGTCCGCTTGAGCCAGCTTGGGGCTCCCTCAGGGCCGTCTTGGGCCGACTAGGGCCCCTCTTGGGGCTCTCAGTGGGCTTCTCTGTGCCCTCGAAGGTTACAAGTGGACCGACCTTCTACCGACGAGCGTGGAAAGCAAACATCGAACATCTAAGTACTGTCGATGTGTTTAGCTTCGCGAGGCCCACCCGGAGAGGGCACTGTGAGTGTCTTGGAGTGTCTTGGAGGCCTCGCGGGACCTGTTGGACACTTCCGAGGTGCTGGTGGGTGCCTCCTGGAGGAAATGCTGGGCCCTGCTGACGGCCTTGGCGGCAGTCGTGGGCCGTCCTGGAAGCCCGTAGGGCCCGGGAGAGCCCCGGGGCAGCGCCGGGCCGCCCAGGGCACCGTGGGGGGCAAACGGCGGGACCAGCACGCGCTCCTGAGCGGAAGGACGGGTTTTGTCGGCGTCACCCCAACACGCTCACACTGTATGTGCGCCGCCCCCCCAGCGGGCGACGCGCGCACCGAGAAGTCTTACAGTGTCTGCGTCGTGGCGGGCGCTGTCTGGCCACACCGCTCGAGGAAACGATATGCTACAGGACGGGTATACCACACGTGCGGATCGGCCGCGCGCCTCCAAGGAGGACACATGGTATTGGGATGTCTCTGTGCGTCCCATATCATTTTGCGGGACGGCAATGGCAGCAGCCCTTGGCCTTCTACCACGCCCCCTCGTGCCACGGGGCACGGCGGCGGACCCGTCGGCCACGGCGGCTGCCGGGCGCGTCTCGGGGGAGGCAGGCAGGCGGGCGGGGCCTCCGAGCTCTGCGCTGCTTGCCCCGGAGGGGCGGCGCCGCAGTCGCCTTGACTCAAGAGCGGGCCTTTTCAGAGGCATCGCATTCCGCGCACCGTCTCGTTTTCCGTGCGTCCTGCGAGGGAGCAGGGCTCGACCTGAACGGTGTGTTGGACATTTCGTGGGCTGGTTCAGTGCTGGTTCCGTTCCGCAGCAGAGGCGGGAGGAAGCCAGCACGAGGAACAGCGAACACAAAGAGACCGTTGTTTTGACCCCTCGGCGATGGCGCGTGTGACCAGGGAACGGGGGTGGAGGGAGGAGGGGGCCAAGTCACGTCACGATTCGCGCCCAGTGCCGTCTGGGAGTGCATGGGAATGGGCACTCCGAGTTTCTTAGTAAGCGTCGGGGGGGGCGGCACCCCCTCCGGCAGCCCCACATCGACCCCCGTCGCGGGCAGCCAACGCGCGCCAAAGGCGCTCGGACCCCTGTCGCGGCGCGACGACGAGGCGAGGTTGACCCCCGTGGGGGGCGTGCCCCCCCGCGCCCATTAAGAAACCCAGAGTGACTTCTGCGTGGCGCCAGCGCGCAGCGTGACGTGACCCAGGGGGGAGGGGGGGGGGCGGGGCCGGTCACAGGCGCTGTCGCGAAGAATTGCACGTGTGCTCAGAGCGAGCACGAAGAACCTTGTTCAGGTCGACCCCTGCGAGAGATCAGGGCTCGACTTAAGCGGCATGTTGGCGATCTCGTGGGCCGTCATCGCTTCGATCTCGCTCCGCAGCAGAGGCAGAACGAAGACAGATCTCTGGAAAGCAATGACGAAACGAACACGCCACACACTGCTTAGGCCGAGCCCTGGGAGAGAGATGTCGCCTGCGATGGCGTCGCGCCTGGCGCTGGTGGCAGGGCTGCTGCTCATCATGGGGAGGCGTAAGACTCAAGTTGACCAGAGCTCGGGTTGTCTGACATTCTTGTCACGTGCCCGCCTGGATTTGTGTTGACGGTCCAGCGTCCGTAGGATGCTTGCAGCGGAGCTCGCGCCAACTGTCAGACTGGGTCTCTTCATTTTGCTGACGGCCCCGTTAGGCCAACGTGAGTCTCGGAGGTCCAGAGGTTGACACCATCACCAACATCCGCGGTGTGCCTCCACCAAGGGAAGATGCTCCCGATCTCGGCGATGGTGATCAGACCTGGGCTTCCAAGAGGCCGAAAGGCTACCACCAGCGCCACAATCTAGGATCAGCTCCCCCCGTGGCGGCAACCTCCTGTTTTGGTGTGGGTGTTCAATCCAGGCCTCCTCCCTGCTCAAGAGGCCTCTCCTGCCCCCAGGCATCCTCCTGCCAGGCCCCCTCCTCCCGAGTCTTGCGCCTCCCTGTTCAGCACGAGCTGCTCCGCCGTCTCGCTCGCCCGCGCGGGGCCCGAGCACGCGGACCCCTTTGGCGTCAGCCCCCTCGGCAGGTCTGGCGGCGCACAGGCGGGCGTCGTAGTCGTCGTCGTCGTCGTCGTCGTCGTCGTCGTCGTCGTCGTCGTCGTCGTCGTCGTCGTCGCCGTTTTATCTTTATCCTTATCCTCGTCCTTGTCATGTCCTCCTGCTCCTCCTCCTGCTCCTCCTCCTCCTCCTCCTTCCCTCGTCCTATCCCCCTCCTCCCTCTCCCCCTTTTCCTCCTCATCCTACCCCCCCCCCCGACATCTACGACATCACGTCGTAGCCACTGCTCGCCACGCGATGAAACTGCCTGGCTGTCCAGTCGGCGGCGCGGGGCCGTTCCGCCGCAAGCCTCTTGACGAACGTGCCCGCCAGGCGACGTTCGCTCCTCCTCCTCCTCCTCCTCCTCCTCCTCCTCCTCCTCCTCCGTGGTCTTCAAACTGTTGTCTTCCAACGAGGCAGTTCCCTGTATGGAAATGAACAGCTGTGTGGGCCTATGAAGAGGGAACTTGGTGGGAGGGTTAATTCCAACATCGTTGATGACTCTTGGGTTTACACCGGTCCTCCTCCTCCTCCCCATCCTCTTCCTTCTCTCTCCTCCTCTTACCTGCTCATCCTCCTCCATCATCTTCCTCTCCTCCTCTTATCCTCCTCACCTCCTCATCCTCCTCTACCTCCTCCTCGTCTCCTCCTCCCTCTTCTCCTCCTTCCCTCCTCCCTCCTCTCCCTCATCCTCCTCCTCCCTCCTCCTCCTCCTCCTCCTCCTCCCTCCTCCTCCTCTTCTCCTCCTTCTCCTCTCCTCCTTCGTCATCCTCCCCCTCCTCCTCCTCCTCCTCCTCCTCCTCCTCCTCCTCCTCCTCCTCCCCCTCCTCCTCACTCGTGGCTTCCCCAACCCAAACCCAAGCAGGCATGGGGGAGGGGAAGGAGGAGGAGGAGAAGGAGGATGATAGCGAGGAAGCGGGATGATGTAGGATGGGGTGGCAAATGACGGGGAGGGAAAGGAGGAAAACGAGGAGCAGGATTTGAGGGAGGAGGAGAAGGAGGAGGAGGAGGAAGCAGAGATGGATTAGGAGGAGGAGGAGGAGCAGGAGGAGGAGCAGGAGCAGGAGCAGGAGGAAGAGGAGGAGGGGGAGGAGGAGGAGGAGGAAGAGGTCCGTAGCCATTTTGGCTCAAGGCTAAACGTGTGAAGGTAACTTAGCATACCGAATCACGATTAGCTTTGACCGATCCGTCGCCCGTCCTCGAGCGACAGGCCACTCCGTTTCCTGCTGCTGGTTGCAGCACAGATCATACCTTCTTCACTTCCATCGGCTTTTCGGCCCAGCTTTCCTCCAGCTCGGGCCCCGCTTCCGATGCCTGGTGGCGATGGCGGCAGAGGAGAGCGCTCCCCCTCGCGGTCGCCAGCCCGTCTTGCGGGGGCAGAGGCGGCAGCAGCGCGGCTGCAGCGCGCCTCGGGACGGGGCCGTGCATCTGCTGATCCTGCTGGTGGCGATCCGCTGGCTGGGGACGCAGACCCCTGGCGTGGCAAAGGTGCTGCTGGTGGGGGACGGCACCAACGTGGTCCAGGCAGAGACGTCCCTGCCCCGGCCACCCCGCAGGGCACCCAGTCCACCCCGCTCCCGCCTGGTGGCTGCAACGGGGACTCGGGCAAGCAGGAGGATGTGGAGGATTTGCGCGACTTCGAGGGGGACCCCTCCGACGTCGCTGCGATGCTTGCCCAGTTCAAGTCCGCCATGCAGAAGTCCATCACAGAGCAGATTTCCGACCTCAAGGGGGGCATCGTTGCTTCGGTCTCGTCCCACACGGAGTCTCTGGTCAAGGCTGTGGCGGCTCGGCAAGAAAAGACGAATTTCCAACTGCGCTCGGAGCTGGAGGAGCTACGAGCCAGGCAGCAGGTCACGGAGCAAACCCAGAAAGACTTCGAAGTGCAGCTCAAGCAGATCAGAGAAGCTCTTTATGTGGCAGAGAGCACCGTACCTATCAAAGATTTTGACTCAATGGTTGAATGCGATCGCGATCCCGACACCACCGTTCTTTGTGCAAACACCACTGCAAATGTGGCAGTGGAGGAGCTCAAGCGTGCCATCACCCCGTGGCTGGAGGAGGCCAACATCGAGGCAGATAAATGGAAAGTTGTGGGTCCCTCACCATCCAGAAGGTACGTCATTCAGTTCTCGGGCGATGTCGGCGCGGCCTCCAGACGGGCTGCACACGCGCGCAGGGCTCTCAGGAAAGATGGTGAATGGAGAACCTTTGATGCGAAGACCATCGAAAATGGAACTTCTAGAGTCTTTGTTAGATGTGACAAATCAGCGAAACAAGTCAGGACAGAAATCCAGACAAAAATTGTGGCTCAGCTTCTACGCGACGCCTTCCCAGGACTTCGGCACCGACATGACAGGTCCAAAGGTATCGTATTTTTGGATGGGGTTCCCTGCGTGCAGATACAGACAGGACTTCAGAAATATCAACCTTCATCACTGCGATGGAACTACAACGTTGACCAACAACACGGTGTGGACAAGACGGCTTTGTTGGCGGCGTTGAATTCTCGTTTCCATTCGGAGCAAGAAATCAAGTGGAGCATTTAGCAGCACGCTGGACACCAGGCACGAGAACTATCGTGCCTTCCCTGCAGCGCAGATTCAGATTACGTCGTGGAACGGCAGAGTCCTCCTTCATCAGAAGCCAGAGGTGCGGCGGAAGAAGTTCAAGAAACTCGCTCTGATGTGTAGACGGCAGGCGATCATATGTCTTCAGGAAGTGCACGGCACGTTGGAGGAGCTCAAGCATCATTGTTATATTCATCGTATTCCTGGAGCGGTGCTTGGATCGGTGCCGCAGCATGACTCGGGAGGTGTGGCGATTATCATAGCGCAGATGTCCCAGATGGAGGCGGAGGAGGCGATTCGAGTCGGAAGATTGAAACACGAGATCCTGGTCCATGGCAGGGCCCACCGCGTCATGATCTAGGCGCGAGCTAACGAGCGTCGTGCTGACACCATGTCCATAGTGCACAACATCCACAACTTCGGGCTGTCGAGGGCGCAGGTGGACACGATCTCGGCCAGGATTGCAGCGGGGTCTTCTGTGGCTTCCCAAAGCCCGTACAGAACGACCGCCCTCGCTGTGGGTGACTTCAACTACACGGAGACGGCCGCGATGCACCTTCATGTCCCAGAGATTGACAAAGGCCTGGTTCACCCTCCTCGTCAAAGAGAGCATGGTGATATATGGGCGGCTGCCTTTGAGGGGATGACAGAACTTGACCGAGAGCTTCCCGCGCACTTCATCAAAGACGGTCAACGATTAACACAACTTGACAAAGTATTCATAAGTACGCCACCTTGGGTACTGATTCAATGGTCGATTGCAGCAACAGTCGCCTATCCGCCAGAAGAGTTGATCGCTGAAGGCACATCGAATCACTCGCCGGTGCAGATCAGCTTCGCCCCCAGGGACATGAGGCCAGAGGAGGACCAGCCTGTTCCTGCTTTTATATGCAAGCAGCCAGAGTTCAAGCACTTCTTAGACCTGTTGATGAGCCACTCGGACATACATATGCTGCAGGCGGTTCCCAGGTGGGCGGAGTACAAGAGATTGCTGAGGGAGGCTGCCCGTCTGACTCGTAACAAGCTTGTGAGCATGCGCACGCCACCGCTGGAGGCGAAGCTAGTCCTTTTTCGTTCCATTGCACGTGCAGTCCATTTCAATGATGCCAGGCTTGCCCGCACGTTGTTAGCGTCAGGCCCCCTTCCAGCTGAGTTGTTGTCGGTCTCGTCGGAGCAGGTAGCGTCTCTTGTGTGGCCCATGGACTTTCGTAGGAAATATGAAGCGTTGCAGCAGGAGATCTCCGAGGACAGAGTTCGCAGGTCGGAGACCCAGGCGAAAGATTCACCCTGCTGGGCTGAGAAGAAGCGCTCGCTTGCCTACGCACGGGCGGAGAGGCGCAGGGGGAAACTATGGGCTCCGAAGGGCAAGCAATATTCTTCCCCTCCAGGGCCTTCTCGCTCCTGACGGTTCGGCGGTCACTTCCCCCTCGGCCATGGTCACGTCTCTTCGGAACCATTGGGGCCCCGTCTTTGCGCCCCGCCCTGTCTCGCGACGCCATCTCAATGCCTCTCTCGACGAGCATGTGAAGCGGTTCGATTTTTCGGATGTGGCCCCGCCCGCAGTCCCTTCGATTGCCAGTGTAATTAAACTGGCTAGACCGACGGCCCCTGGGCCAGATGGACTACCCTATGCTGCGTGGCAGCAGAGTCCGATGTCGCAGGACAATTTGCACGGGCTCTTGATAGAGCTATTGAGTGGCTATCCACCCCCCACTTCTTTGAACGACCTCCTCCTGGTCTTCGCCCCCAGGGGTAGACGGGAGCAGGGCGCGTCCTTTGTGCTGCGTGAGCCACAGAACACGAGACCCTTGGCGCTGAAGAACTCAGATGTGAAAATTTTGACCTCGGCGTGTAACGAGCAGGTGAAGAGACAGGTTGCGCAGCAGGCTCACCCTGACCAGCGTGGATTTCTAGTGAAGAGAAATTTCTTGAACAATATAACATTGCTCGACACTTCCGCGCGTATAGCCACCATGCACCCAGAAGCCAGTTCACGTCTCCCCTGTCTCCTCTTCCTCGACTTCGGTAGTGCCTTCCCCTCCCTCCTCCACTCCTTCCTCTGGGCTGTGCTCGAGCGATGTGGCTACCCGCTAGGACTCTTGCAGTTTGCCCAAGCCACCTATGCCTTCGCGATGTCTCGGACGGCGGTTCTAGGACAGTTGTGGACATGTTGCACGATCATGTCTGGCGCGATGCAAGGAGACCCTGCCTCAGGTACGTTATGGGCCCTAGCGGTGGTTCCTTTCTTGAGGGACATGCGTTCCAGGCTTCGTAAACATCCAGGGTGCGAAATCGGAGTCTGCGCGGATGATATCGGTGCGACGGTGGCTGAATTACAGGCCCTATCTAGGCTCTCAGGTGTTTTTTTTTTTACGCTGCGGATTTTCTAGCTGGCCTCGCCCTCAAGATCCCCAAATGTCGCCTCGCCCCCGTCTCTGAGGCCTTCTCCCCCTCCCTTCAATCGCAAGTCCAGGAGCGATTGGCCAAGCTAGTCCCGCGATGGCGTTCGATCCCGATTGTAGATGCTGCTGAATATTTAGGCGTCTGGTCTGGTCCTGCGGCGGCGAAACATGTCTGGGCGAGGGCGTTTCGGGAGTGGGTGGGTGTCGTCAGGGGTATCGCAGAGACCACGGCGCCACCGTCGGTAGCTCTGTGCATGTAGAATTCGCGTGCTGTGTCGAAATTCAGTTATTTGGCGCAACTGAGCCCGCTGCCTAGAGCTATGGCGAAGTGGGAGTCTTGGGCATTGCATAAGATATTGCATCTTCCGCCGTTCTCGGTGCCGCTGGACCAATTGCTTGCATTGCGTCGTTGGTCGAAGTTGAGGCCTTTGCCCCTTCAGGCTCAGTCGGTGGCCGCTATGATTCGAACTGCCAGGTGCACGGTCACGAACTGGAGACCGCTTTGGTCCAGGCTTCAGAAAGTCGCCGAGTCGGCCCTCCCGTTGACTACGTGGTTGGTTGATGTCTGGTCGCCTGCGCACTGGCAGTGACCTCCGTGCGTCCAGGAGCTGGCGAGAGCGGACCGAGGGTTCTCTGGAGTGGCCCCCCCTGAGGTCGGCGGCCGCGGTGGCCCTCCGAGCTCTCGACGAGGCGCAGCGGGTGGACCCACGTGCCCCTGTGCAACGCACTCTCGCCAGATCCTTGGCCAGCTCTCTTTTCGTGGAAGATTTTGCCCCCACCATTTGGAGGCGCCTGGCCAAGTGGGCGTCTCGGACCCCATCCCGTCGGGCTCGTGCTGGGGTGAGCTGGCCCGCGCTTCGAGAGTGCTTGGCTAGCTTCCCTCCTGCGTGGCAAAGTTCGGTCATAAAAACTCCGGTGGGTGGGTGGACGACGGAGCGGAGGATGACGCAGACCGGCTGCCGTTGCAAATTCGGCTGCACGGATGCGCTGGACGCGCAGGTTCATTACATGTCGTGCCCGTTTCTGTGGGGGGCGGTGCTCTCTGTATGGTGGCCCCAGGAGCCTATTGAAGTGTTCCTCGATCGTCGCCTCGGTCTCGCTCGTGAGATGTCGGAGCCCCAGAGACTGAGAGCGCTCGAGCGGATTATTATCGCGTTTTATCTGTACAATTCGGTTCGTCGGTTCAATGGCATCGACGAGGAGTCTTTACATCAGTGTGCTCGAGCTGCGAGATCGCAGTTCCAGCAGCAAGCCGAGCCTAGAGAGGACTAGGGTGGTCGAACTCCTTCCGATGCTACGTCTGAGGCGGAGGAGGAAGAAGAGGAGGAGGAGGAGGTGGAGGAGGAGGAGGAGGATAATGACGCGGAAGGGAATGATGGGAACAGTGAGGACAAAGAAGGAAGAGGATGAAGAGGAGGACCAGAGTAAATCCAGGATACCTCAACGATGCTGCAACACACCGTCCAGTCCAATGCCCCCTCGCCACAGGTCCCTACAAGTATTCATTTCCATTGCGGGCAGCCCCCTTGAAGTACGAACGCCCAGTGGGCACCTGCCACTCAGGCGAGACCCTGGTTTGAAAACGGGCCATCCTCCATCTTCCTAGGCAAAAGAAGCGCAAAGTGGTGAAGCAGATCAACCAACCATAGGCCAATCATCGGCCCCTTTTGAACATATATGTTGTTGCACAACTTCTAACGTACAGTCATACATGTTGGAAACTATGTTAACGTAGCCCCCCACACGGATGTTACGGGGTTGGCGGAATCACGAGGGCATCAAATCAGTGCCAACAAATGAAGGCGTATGATGTCCATATTTTGTAATGGAAAGGCCGACGGAGGCGAGGAAGGGAAGCAGCATTGGTGGGAGGGCGCGACACCTTGTAAGTAGTATGGTTTGGGGATACCCTCCTCGCTCAGGCGG